TCTATGACCCAAGTTGGCTGCGTATATTATACTCATACAAAGGAGTTTAGCTGTAAGGTGTCTGGAGAGGAAGTCTTGTCATTAATTGACCCCTATATTCATGTTGTAAAATTGCACCCAAAAGACGGGGCCTTCTCTCAAAGAGGCACACAGGCTGCCATACCGGAGTTGACGTGGGACACAGGCCATTCGAAAGCAGCAAGGACTCTGTGGGCAGGAATATCGCTATCCCTCGCCCACTGCCATTGCTCTGTGCGACCTGAGATTTGGGCATAATATAAAAGCCCTGTTGGCTGTGGGTTTGGTCTCTGTTCTCACAACCTTGGCAATTTGATTACCCTCCTTAAAGACCATTCTAACCACCTGGTGTCACAGTTCATCATCTTCTTAACTTAGGTGAATCCTCAAAGCTGGGCTCATTTCTTATCTCTTTTCATAAAATTTAATGGGCGTGCAATCTTTTGGCTTCTCTTTTTTTCCCTATGTCTGAAAATTTGTGATAACAAGAACCACAATGGCTACAAGCTTGTTTGAAGTTAATTATTTAAAATGAGCAAAGAAGACCAAGTACCTGAGAAGAAATTGGAAAGAAAACACTATGCCCTGCTACAGTTGGTTGGTATTTGGCTCTTTTATTTGTCTCCTGAGTGCCATAAGTGTCATTGAGCTCAGAGGACGTGAACATCCTGTACAGGAAATAGATGGTGTGTGGAGGAGGTGAGGGGGGCGCTGGCATTCGTTCTTGGAAGCCTTCAGTAAGCTTCACTTGACTACATTATAGAAACAAGTAAACAGCTGGAAAACAGGCTCCACTTGGACGGCTTCCAGCACACTTCACAAAGCTCAGGAAAAGCTCAGCAAAGCCACACGCTTTTTGTTTTCCTGAGGAAAAACTCTGCTTGTCGGTCTCAGGGTTAAGGAGTTTCAGCAAGTTTTTATACAGATGCTAAAATGTGCTTTTTTGTATTTTCCTCTGTCCCTGAAAATCAAAGCCCAGTGATAGAATCAGAAATGGGGGCACTTAGTGACAACTGGACCACCTAGCTCCTGGAGAGGTGTTGGTGCAGCGACGATAGTGTGTGTGTGTGTGTGTGTGTGTGTGTGTGTGTGTGTGTGTGTGTGTGTAAAATCGTAGTTGAAACTTGAAGAAACTAAGCTCAGAAACGTTGATGTATGCATCTCAGGATTCCTACTTGGACTAAATAGGGCAGAATGAACATCCACTTCATCTCTCTTAGGAATGGCTTTATCAGGAGGACAATATAAACACCATGTCAGTCGTGATGTATGGAGAGATGCGAAGGTGAGGGGGAACCTACGACGATCTCAAGACTGTCAAAAGCTGCAGCTTTTTTCTTTTCCCAAAAAAATATTTTTCAGGAGAAAACTAGAGCATTTGCTGTTTCTTTGTGAAAGTGATTTGGCTGCTCATTGGAGCAAAAAGGCCCTTTATGACCTGACTTTGCCCTTTATGAGGCCTGTCTTACCACATTGTGTTTATTTCAGAACCCGAAATTCACACTGAGTGAGTAGTGACAGGGAACAAAACCAGAGTCATTGCAATTTGCATTTGCTGGGGCAGTTTTTCTTTCTCTGCTGAACTTTGTTTCTTTTCTAGGAAAAAAAGTATTTTTAGCTCTCTTATGCTTCTCCATAAGAAGCTTACTACTATCTTTAAGACATTCTATCATGCTCAAAAACGTATAATTTTCTCATTCATAACTAATGTTTTCTGACACTGTCATCTTCCTTAAATTTTAGCCATGAAAAGAGTATATAATTATTGCAAATGGAGACATTGGAATATTGTGTATATCAGACAAGTATCTAACAACGTTCTTAGGTTTAGATTATCAGAATATTTCTTTTTATTTATTCCAGGTTTTCACTTTTATTCTAGTAGGACTAGAAATCAGACTCTTCTTTTTTTTTTTTTTTTTACTATCTGATTGCAATTTATATGATTAAGAAGCAACTGGTCAAATAAGTGTGAGGATAGGTTTAGAAACGAATAAAGAAATTATCCTGATGCTAATGAAGAAATCTGTGATGATTCCTATTTGAAAGACCTTCAAAAAACCCCAACAGCCATATTTAATTTAAGTGGTCACTTGGTATCTGACAAGGGAAAAAAGGTAGATGCAAGTCAATTTCCCATTTTCTAACTAGAAAGGGCATATCACAGTCATGACCACGTTTTTGACCACTTGACACAGGATAGCCTGGTGCAAGGTGCCTAAACAGTATACAAATGCTGCCTAGGAACTATACACGGGTATAAAGACGTTTAAATCAGTACTTGAATGCAGTGACAAAGTGCTCCTACTTCAGCCTGAGGAAGCAGCGCCACCTGCTGCTCAAGCTCTAGTTCATGTCTGAGAATTCTTTAGTAGAAACCGATGTCTACAGACCTAAGCACAAAAAGTTGATTTGTAGTCTGTTATCTTTTAAGATCTATATCTGGGTCAATGTATTGAATTTTTTTTTTCTTGTGTGTGCACGTTTTAGTCTATACAGTCACATTGGGAACAATAATTAAATAGAAGAATGGGAGAGAGAATGGGAGAGAAAATATAAATATGAAAAAACTGGGAATATAGAGTATTTCTTCTTGGTGTCTTTTATTCTGAAACTAAATGATGTTCTACATTTGCCCTTTTTAAAAAATGTATCTTTATTGTTGAAAGTATTACAGATGACCCCTCC